AATTTAACTGATTTAATAGGGGAAAGCCTTTTTATAGCACTGATTTACAATGCATTTGTTAAGATATTACACATGTAGAACATAATTCCCCTGGCTTTACTGAGCTTTGGATCAGGTCCTCATTGCAACAAAAAAAAAAAGAAAAAAGCCAGACTAACACACAAATATAATATTTAATCTCCAGATACTCTGCTTCAAACAGTGTAATTGAGTTCAATAGCTCCATGTTTATTATTATGGCCTATGCCCAGACGTTAGCATGAGGAAAAACACGGGGGGGAAATGTCATACATACTCCCACACACCTATGCAAATATAATTATAATTGCTCTCTGTATTTCACAGGAGACCTTTTATGGGAATCATTATGCTTATTCTGTCTAAAAAATATCTCTAATGTAAAAAATGTTTGAAATACAACTTTGTTTTATTTAGCATTTAGCATTAAACGTGTCCAGCCAGGACTGTTGATATTGCCTTGCCTGTGCATACATACACATGTATATGTTTATGTATATCACCCAACAAAGCTTACCTGCTAAACACAAACCTATACTTCAGCTACATGAAAAATGTTCTCGCTAATCAGCATCCACTTGTTGCACCTCCCCTGAAAGGACCAAATCTCTCTTAAATGTACTGTTTCACAAGCATCCCTTCACACAACAGGCCTTTGCACAGCGTCGCGGGTTCGTGGAGGAAATGAACCCGTTCCATCCTCTCTCTATATCTGCACGAAGCCTTGCACAATGGGGCTGTGATTTATTTGGGGCCCCTGGGTATGACTGCCTTACAAGCAGTAACTAATAACAACAGACCACCAGAGATTACTGAGAGGCATTGGCTGCAGGGAAAAATAAAACCTGCTCCATAATGAGGACATTCCGTGTCCAGTTGGATGTACAAGTATAGTTCAAATTATGGGGTTTGATGAAAATCTTGGGGGCACCTCTTCAATCTCAATCTGACTTTTCAGACAATGGTAATGCAAATAAATTATTCTGTGATTTGTAGACAAATGACCAAGATTTAAGATTTCCGTGAAAGACAACTCATTGAAATGTATCGATGAACTGATATGTTTTCTTTTTCCTTTCCTTTCCTTTCCTTTCCTTTCCTTTCCTTTCCTTTCCTTTCCTTTCCTTTCCTTTCCTTTCCTTTCCTGTCCTTTCCTTTCCTTTCCTTTCCTTTCCTGTCCTTTCCTTGAACACCCACCAAAGACAAAGTCTATTAGGATGACTCTGCAATGCAGAGATAGTGAAGGATGGCAAGAGCCAACTCCCCAAGTGGGCAAAAGCTTATGCTGAGAAGGAATTTTATTTGGGTAGGGATCCATGTTATATAGTAAATTAAGTGAATTAAACACAGGACCCTTTTGATTAATCTTTTATGGACTGAAGCACAACAGCAATTTAGCACCATGCTCAGACTGCAGTAACCAGCTCGGCATGCAAGCCTTTAGGAGAATTTGGGACAGAAATTAATTGCAAGAGCAACACAGCTGGTAATTATGCTGTGAACTTTGTTTCAAGAAGGTGCTCAAAGTTCCTGGTGACTGGCACAGAGTAAGACCTGTATGAAAGAAGAACCTTCTGATAAACCTCCTGTGTTCGTGAAGATCATCTTCTCTGCTCACCGAGTGTCACTCACACTGGACAGAAACCTCCTGTTCAAGAGAAACGTAGCAGCTCTGCTCAACTAATAATGAGGTTTTCTGTTCCTCCTTCATTTGCCTTTAATGGTGACCAAGGGCGCTGGATGTGCGGTAAGACCTCTCAGTAGCAACTCCTTGATGTTTCTACACGTAATGTATCGTTATGAGTAATTACCATATTATCCATTAATTGGAAATATCCAGGAAGACATTCAGCCCCAAGGTACCAGTTCATATCCTCTGTGCTAAATGTGGACCCAAAAAATGTGCCTAGCAGCTGTTTGCTAAATGCATCTGTAAATTCGAAAGCAAATAATCTGAATCAAAATAATTAGGCAAATTAATGGAAGAAAAAGCTACTTAGGGCTGTTAAACGCAGAGAGAGATCTTTTGATTCAGAAGATCTCCAAGCCATGCTTTTTTAGCCCAAGCTTCTTCCCTCTTCAGCTGAGACCTATGAACACCCACCAAAGACAAAGTCTATTAGGATGACTCTGCAATGCAGAGATAGTGAAGGATGGCAAGAGCCAACTCCCCAAGTGGGCAAAAGCTTATGCTGAGAAGGAATTTTATTTGGGTAGGGATCCATGTTATATAGTAAATTAAGTGAATTAAACACAGGACCCTTTTGATTAATCTTTTATGGACTGAAGCACAACAGCAATTTAGCACCATGCTCAGACTGCAGTAACCAGCTCGGCATGCAAGCCTTTAGGAGAATTTGGGACAGAAATTTTTCTTTGACAAAAAAGAGTTTAGGAAGTAGTAGCAATAATGGGTCTCTTTCCTACCATTGAGCAAAGGATCATCAAATATAAATAAAAGCAATATAAATAGTGACAGTCGATGAGAAGCAAATTTGTCTTCTGCATGCTGATGCAAACTAATAACACCGCATTTTACCTGTATTTGTTGTATTTACAACAAGATAGTCTGTGTAGCAAAGTACAGCCAGAGAGTACCTGTGTAGTGTGCTAAATCATTTTTAAGCACTATTTGAAGGGAAAAGAGGTAACGCCCAATCTGCTTATCTGGTTTCCTTTCCTTTCCTTTCCTTTCCTTTCCTTTCCTTTCCTTTCCTTTCCTTTCCTTTCCTTTCCTTTCCTTTCCTTTCCTTTCCTTTCCTTTCCTTTCTCTCTTCTTTTCTTCTTTTCCTTTCTTTTCTTTTCCTTTCTTTTCCTTTCTTTTATTTTCCTTTCTTTTCTTTTCCTTTCTTTTCCTTTCTTTTCCTTTCTTTTCTTTCCCTTTCTTTTTTCTCTTATTTTCCCCTCCTTTCCTTTTTCTTCCTTTCCCTTCTTTTTTTTTCCCTTCCTTCCTCTTCCTTTCCTTTCCCTTCCTTTCTCCTCCTTTTCCCCCCTTCCATCCATCCCTCCCCTCAATTTCCTATCTATGACGATCAGGCCCCGGTGCCGGATCCTTCCCTCCGTTACACCCCTGGGACAAAGGCCGGGTCCCGGTGGGGCGAGGGCCGTTGTTCCTACGGTGGGAGCAGGATGGGATCCGTGGGGCTGAGCGGTCCGGGCAGAGGCTCCATGTTCTGCTGCGACCCAGGGATGTCCTCGGCAGCCAAAGGCAGGGCTCCCCAGGCTGCTTCAGGTGGGGGAAATTCCCAGGCGGGTGGAGGCCGAGGCGCAGAGGAGCCCTCCCGATGGATGCTCCGGCGTTTGTCTGAAAAATTCTCAGGGAAAATTCTTTCCCTCTCTCTCAGGCCCCTAAACTCTTTGTGAATGGGGCCAGTGCAACATGTGGCCTTTCACCTCGCCCAAGAACCACTGCCAGACAGCCACACTCAGAGAATTGTTTGTTAATAGTCCAATTAGATAATTGCCATCTTTCACTCCTTTTGCTCTACATTTCCCATAAAGGAATGAATAAGGAGAGCAGCATGAAGAGGGCTTCTGCCCTGCAAGGTGACAAGAAGGACTGGAGCATGCTCTTTGCACAAGGCCATTTGCTTGAATTGAATCATTGTAGCCTAATCAATGGTCTTATTGGATTACTGGCTGTTGCGGTTCTCAAAGATATTGTAGCGCAGACAATGAAATAGCTAGAGTAAAACTTTTTTTCTCCTTTAGTGGATCACGCAGTTGAGATTTTTCACGGGCTATCTCTCTCTCTCTCCCTCCCTCTTTCCCTCCCTCTTTCTCCCCCTCTCCCTTTCTCCCCCCTCCGGGATCCACTGCACACAAAGCTGGCTTTTTTTTTTTTTTTCCCCTCTTTTTTTTTTTTTTTTTTTTTTTTTCAATGAGCAGGCTCTGCGAATAGGTTCAGTGTTTGCGAAGGTGCAGAATTAGCACACACACACACACACATGCACGCACACATCCACACACACACACACAGAGGGAGAAGCACAAAAAGCAAGTATCGGGACTGAAATAAGGAGAGGTAGGAGTTTAAGATGGCTGTCTGTGGGGAGATGTGTTAAGGAGGATTTCTGCTGGCCAAGACAACCTGCTTCCTCGGAGAGATCTGCTTGAAGGAAGAACTTTTTTGTGTATGTGCGTGCTGGGGATCTGTTTGTTTGTTTAGAATCCAGGGGGCTTGTTTTTTGGTTTTTTTTTTTTCTTCACCCCCCTACAACTGCATTTTTCCAGCCCTTCCCAGCAGCTTTATTCAGATTTATTTGGCGTGCTTTGGAGAAAGCCACTATATAATCGGGAGGTCAAAGGCATACTGAAGAAAGTTAATAATGGCTGCTAATGGTGCTAACAATTCAGGGTGAATCTTGTCAAAAGTTTTTTTTTTTTTTTCCCCCCCCCCCCCCCCCCTTTTTTTTTTTTTTTTTTTTTTTTTTTTTCTGGAAGTCTCAGTCTTTTGATTGTGTGTTTCCTGAAAGCAAGACCAATCATTTCAGTTTATTCACTGGCTAAACTCTACTTGATTGGGGACAAGCACACAAACCATCCATTACGATCTGATATATTATCCAAACAATTTAGTGTATTCATGAGGTAACCTAAATGTGGAGGCTGCAAAATTACCCGTAATCAATTGAAACAGCGAGTGCGCGTCCCTCTGTGTGTCTAACAACTACATGTCTCTGTAATAAGGCAGACATTAAATCATTTTAGAGTTGTACTGTTGAGTACCTGATCACTGGGCGCTCTGGGAAGCTGGACAGTCACATTAGGACGCTGGGACTGAGGAAGCCGCTGCTTTTCCAGTGGGATAAAACCCGACCTTCCTTACTCAAGGTGCTTTACAGATCCCCACCGATCTGACCCTAAGCCGTGCAATATCCAGCATAGACTTCGTCTTCTTCTTCTTCTACTACTCTTCTATATTTTTTGTTGGCTATTTTTTTTTGTGTTTTTTGGTTTTTTTTTTGTTTTTATTGCACTACATGTTTGGGAAACAAGACAAAATGGACGTTAGATGCAGTTCAGAGACTGAAGCTAACCGGGGCTCGAAGAACGGACATAAAGAGGGCAAGGAAAGCAAAGGGTCTGAAGGAAATATTTCTACTTCTTTTTTGAAGGATCAGCAAGGGACTTTTTCTGCCTCTGCAGCTACGGAAGATTGTAATAAAAGTAAATCTAGTTCGGCTGATCCGGACTATTGCAGGAGGATCCTAGTTAGAGGTACGAGTCGGAGGTGTTTGGTGAGGGTGGGGGAAGGTGAGCTGTGTTCACACCCGGGAAATTGGGTTATTTTGTCGCTTTGTTTTTTTGGTCCATCCCTGGATTCAAAACCCTTCCTTGGGCTCCGGGGGAGAGATCCCCCCCATCCCGGCCGAGCCCCCGCTCCAGCCCGGCTTTACTGCGCTGAATTCCCCCCCCCCAGCGCCTCGGAGGAAAGTTCCGCGCCGGCGGTTCCTCCCCGCCTTTGCCCCGCATCGCTTTGTTCAATTTATTTGTAATTTTATTTTTTTTTCTTTTTTCCTCCCCGCTTTTTAGCTTTGGGGAACCCGCCGGGGCCAGCGCTCCCTCCTCGGTGGGGCCGCGGTTTTTGCCCCGCCGGCCGGGCGCGCTCCTTCCGCGCCCGCGCAGCCCCGGCCGCGGCCGCGTACAATGGCGCGGAGCTGCGGTTCCCGCCCGGCGGTGGGAGTGGGCCGGAGGGTTCTCTCTGGAGGGCAGGGGTTCCCCTTTTCCCCTTTTTTTCCCCCCAGGCATCCCAGCAGAAAAGGTTATTTTTAAAAAACCACCAGCCTAAAAATCAACGCCAGAATGACGAAGGGGTTTATATATTTTTTTTTTTAAACAGCTGTACGCTTTATTTTCCTCAACTCTCATCTCCCTCCAGGCTAAACTAATTAAATCATTCTATTCCTCCCCTCCCCTCACAAAAAAAAAAAAAAAAAAAAACAAAAAAAAAACAAAAAAAGAGGAAAAAATTACCTGGAGAAATTTCGGTTTTATTAAGGTGCGTTTTGGGGGAGGAGGGAGGGAACAGAATCGGAACAAAACTAGTGCGAGGCAGGCCTTGTAAACAATAATTAATCCTTGCGCGACCGATTGACCCAGAGAGGGGTCAGATTAAAAGGATGTGGTTGTCTCCGATTTGAAACGTACCGAGGACGTAAAATTACGGAAAGCAAAGTTGGGAAGGCTTTAATGTAACATGAATCTGGCTCTAGCTTGACAGTCGTGTTAATAAGATTTGTCCCGCTTTCTTTCGGTCGGGGATACCAGAAAAGTGAGGTTTCTGCGGGTTGTTTGGTGCCTTGGTTTGGGTTGTGTGGTTTGCTGCTTTTTTTTTTTTTTTTTTTTTTTTTTCTTCCACCTCCTCCTTCTCCTCTTTGCCAAAAATCCCGGAGCCCCGGCGGCGGCGATGCTTTCCCCGGGATGCTGAGTGGGCTGGAGGTGTCCCCGGATTTGGGGTGGGCAATCAGCCAGCTCAGGGCAGCGCTGCCTCTGCCCTGAAAGCTCCTGCCTGCCTATTTATTAGTATTTTTTTTTTTTCCCCCGCACGGTAAACTTGTTTTAAAGAAAATCATCAAGAGGTTTTAGATTTCGGGGGGCGGCTGGGTGTGTGTGGCGCCTTCCAGCAACCCCTAATCTCGGAGCCCAGGGGGAACAAAGAGTAGCCCTGCATCCCAGGCACAAAGCCCGGCCTGGAGGATCTCCCCACAGCCTCCCAGAGGGGCCGGGGGTGATGCTGCACTCTCGTATTGGCAGGGAGATACATTCAAAACCAATTTTTCATGGGCTGAGGGGATCATTTCCAGAGCCTTGGGCCCCCATCGCCCCCTCCTTCCTATTCTGTTGTTTGGTTTGGGGGTTTGTTTTTATTATTTTTTTTTCCCCATCCTTGTGTAGCGGCCAGGTGCAGTGCTGCAATCCCAGGAACCCTGCTCCATCCCGACTCGGGTCTCGGGCTTGAAGGAGCTGGGGGAAAAAATTAAAGAAAAAAAAAAAGAAAAATAAAGGGGAAAAAAGGGGGGGAAAAAAATAAAATAAAATAAAAG